CCAATCCAGAGAAAGCAATCCATGCATGGAGGCTGGTTTCTGTTTGGCAGTGAGGCAGAAACCACCTGCCCCCCACACATAGCAATTAACAGCAAAGGCCTGGCACTGCCCTCAGGGAAGGGCACCTTTCGCTGCTCCCGCATGATGCTGCTGAGCCTTGCTCCTTTCTAGCATGCGATCTGCTCTTAAACAAAGGGAATGAGTGACTCTGTCTAAAACATGCACATTTTGTTATACGCTTCTGCAAAATACCCTTATGGGTGCTTAAATTGTCTTTCCTAACCTGGCACATTCCAGATGCCTGAAAAGCCCTGCCACTTGATTGCTAGCTAGGGATGATGGGACTTCTAATTCCACACATCTGCAAAGTTTTCCTTAAAACATGGTGTCAAATGAATTATGCAGTTAGGTTTCGCCACTGACCCGGCTGCACTTCTTCCCTTCTTCTACCTCCACCTGCATCTACCTGGCTGCTCACTTTTCCAATGGCATGAATGATTTAATAGACAATTTCTACCAAAGTGTCTCCCAAAATGCCCTTTAAAATAACACGTTACTGATTACACATACACACACACACACACACACACAACACACACACACACACACACACACACACACACACACTTAATGCTATCACCGCTGATTACACTACTTCTGAAATATAACATATTTATGCCAAACCAAAAACGTAGAAACTTGTTACAGGTAACTATCTTACTCTAATTTGTTACTTCCGTTCTCTGCCTTGAGCCCTGGACCTACTAAAGTGCTCTGAATCATTATCACCTACACTTCAGAAACCAGCTATTGTGGTTGGGGCACTTAATCCTTAAAAATCCATAACAAGAAGCCTTTGAACAGTTTCAGGATTTGCACCAGTTCCAGTTTAAAGGTGCCGAGTCCCAATGCACACAGGTTATGTGTTTGCTCCTGCAAACTTTAAATAACAATACATTGTGTTTTTTTAGTACTGTGCACCAGATTCAGCTGTTTTTCCTTCAACAGTGCAATATCACTGAAACACCTCACGTAGCGCTTCTAGATTGTTGGCTCTTTAATGGATTTTCTGTGTAAAGAAAAATGTGGAAGAAGCATAGGAAAAACAAGGGAGCTTTACAAATGGAAAATGGTGTTCTGGGAAGTTTTTGCCAAAATCCAGTGGACAAGGCTAGGTGATGCTCTGATATGTCTTAGTCAAGAGTCAGGGCAAATAAGTGATTAGTATTTTGATCTGAGACTAAGGTAATTTGGGTTCTAGTTTCCACTGTGTGTAAAGAAAAATGTGGAAGAAGCATAGGAAAAACAAGGGAGCTTTACAAATGGAAAATGGTGTTCTGGGAAGTTTTTGCCAAAATCCAGTGGACAAGGCTAGGTGATGCTCTGATATGTCTTAGTCAAGAGTCAGGGCAAATAAGTGATTAGTATTTTGATCTGAGACTAAGGTAATCTGGGTTCTAGTTTCCACTGGATCATGAAATTTACCAGGCAACCTTGAGCCAGACACTTTCTCGAAGTGTGACCTATCTCGCAAGGTTGCTATGAGGATAAGGTCTGAAAGATAGCTTTGTATGCTGCTTTAGGAATAACAGAGGAATGGCAGAATATACACATAATAAATAAATAGATCATTGGGTGTCTCATGTTGCAGAACTGCTGAAATTAAGTAGGAACCAATATAGACCACCTGGTGAGTGAGAGGCTAATGGGAACCCCATGTAAAGTGTAATCAATGTGGTGCTATTGGCCAAAGGTCTTGGATCATCCTTAAAGCTACATAGATTTGCTTTATCTCTTGTCATTATATGCCACCAAGTCACTTCCCGCTAGGACAACCCTATTTGCTTTGCTTTGTAATCCAAATTATAGGGAAAGAAATCACCATGAATAAAAGATGAAAGCTACAATTCAGCTCCACTAGCATTCTCATCCGATGTAAAGTCAAGAAACATACCAGATAATGACAGCATGACAAAATATGGTTATTTCTTTTCCAGAAAGGTTGGCAATTATTTTCATGACATTTGTGGAACAGAATTATTTAATTTGGGCAACACATTTACAAAAGCTAGTAATGAGATAAATTCTGGATCCAAGAGTTCTTAATATAACATCAGTGCATTGTATAATGGATTCTATTCTCGTAATATAAATGAATATGGGATGCAACACAAACAATTATTTATAAAGATGACCTTTTTCTTCTACAATGGATCTACCTGTGTGTTACAGGAAGTATCCTCTATACACTTGGATTAGAGTACACTGAGTTAAAGTGACTTCTCCTTCAGAGTTTGGCTTGTTGCAAATAAAAGACCATCCTAACTGCATGATAAATAGGAGTTTTGCATGCATAAAAAGTGAGAGGTTACTGTGATCAAGTAACAGTTTGTAGCTTGTTTTTCTCAATGTTTAGCCTGTTTATGCAGCAGCAGCTACTATACAGCTGCTTCAGGCTATTAAAATAAATTGTCCCACCACAACTCAGAGTTTCAACGCTGGCAGGCAAGACAAAGAGTCCATAATTCTGTTAGTTAAGATTACGCTCATTTTCAAATTCCAGTTGTAGATGTATAGAAAGAAAACCAGCAGTTTACACGCCTTAAGTTACCGTGTGCTCATTTGAACACTCATTTTAAAACTAAACTTCTGGCAGATGATTATCACTTAATGTAGACCAAATGCACTTGGAATGTTGAAAAAACAGCATCGAAAAAAACCAAGAGATTTCACTTGGAAAACACTAACGATGCAACCACAGCTCCTACTCTACGCAGAACTTGTAAGAGCTCCAAATATCTTGCACCCGAGTAGTCTCTTCAGCCCAAGATTTCATGAAAATGTATGGTGGTCACTTTGTGGATCTTCAGGTGCAAGATCTACAGATGGCAGGAACTCTTGTGAATTAAATCACAAAAGGCATCTCTCACTTCTAGCCAAATGCTCCAAAAAACCAGCCGCCTCCACAAAACACCTAAACCCGTAATGCCACTGCCATATTGCAGAGGCCCATGATCTGGTGGCTCCTGAAGGGATAGATGATCAACAGAATGATGGTGACATTCTACATAGGGATTGCTTCAATGGGAAAACTATTTGGGTTCACTGTCACTATGGCCAGAATGATATGCAATTCGAGCCTAACATGGAGGTGGCAGAATATAAAATAGAATGAGTGATCTTCCTCACAGCATTTGTGTAAGGATGTGCTACAGGAAATCCTGTTTCATAATATAGAAAATTGCAACTACAGCAGACCAGCCTAAATCAATGGAACCCACACAGGAGCTGATTCTCCAAATCCCCATTAAACCAATGGGCCTACTCTAGTGCAACCTATTATGCTAAGCAACAGGATTTCCACCAGAAACAGCAAAGCATCTTAAATATTGAAAGTGTATAATCTTTGAACCTTTAAAGTATTCAAAGAGGGGACTGTCTTGACAACAACCCAAAGGCTTGCTACAGTTCTGATCAGCGGTGTTTCTGGGAGAGACGCCTTAAAAGAGCAAGAAATTTTGAAGTAGCTTATAGACCAACACGTTTTATGCAACATCATTTTACGAACTATAGCCGGTTCTTTAAATGCATCCCAAAAAGGGCCATGGTCTGGAAAACTGTATGCCAAATAAAACTTGTTAATCTTTAAGATGTTGCATGATTTTTTACTGGTTTTCCTGCAACATGGTGGCCTTACTGAAAGCTTTATAAGACAGAGGCGAGGGCTGATGGATTAAGGCAGTGTTGGTGGCCAGCTGTGATCCTCCAGAAATTTTTGGTCTATATCTCTCATCAACCCTAGTCAGCATCCAATGAGTGAGAGATTATGGAAACCATAGTCAAAAACGTTCCTAGAGGACTGTTCACATTTCTCCCAAAATGGCCTCTTACTGTACCACAGATGCTGCTTACCCAGGCCCTTCTTTTACTTCTTGTGGGGTTGAGAATTGTTGACCAGTCAGTATTAAGAGACAGATTTAACTTAAATCCAGAAACAGTTGACGCATAACATGCATCCTTCCTGGGCTTGCAACTCAAAGCTAACCTTGATTACGTGTGTCTTGATTACTGAATAAGCAGGATATTGAACAACAACATGGAAATCTTAGAGAAGAATCTCCAGTAAAAACTGAACTACATCAATAGTAGTCCAAGTGAAAGAAGACTAAATGGACTTTTCATCTAACTCATGTATATTGTGAATATATTCTGTACTGTATAGTGTATTGGTAGAAAACATTTGGTCTTCCCGATGTTTTGGACTTCAATTTCTAGATGGTCTATCCAGGCCAGCAAATGGTAGGGGAATTGTGGGAGGTATAGTTCAAAACACCTAAAGGGCTAAAAAAATCCATAGCAATGCAGCCTGCACAGTAAGACAAATGAAGGATGCCCTGAAGGAGTCCAGTATATGTAGCCATCATGTACCCCATTAACTCTGTGGTTTATCAATCCACTCCCAATAAATCTTGAGAACTGAAGTACATCCTTTTCCTGAGGTTGAGATGATGAACACCACACTTTAATTCTTAATTTAAGATTGGTGCCAAAGTATATAGGGATTTACATTAGTAAAGATGTAGTGCTCAACAACAGTTTTTGTATCACATAATCTAGCATTGAATCTTGTCCTTGAAAAGTTTAGGGTTATTCTGATCAGTCGTCATGTTTCCGTCAAGACAATGCAGCCCAGCTAAGCATTCTCTCAGCTAGAAAGTACAGTATGAGTAATTTTCACACTTGATTTATGATAGAGAAACTCTGGAAAGTACTGATACAAGTCATTCACAATAACCCTAAAATACTCATCTGTAACACAAGGAGTAATTATGACCCACCTCTCTAAGTTGTTGATCAGGTGGCTCCATTTTCAATCCTTGGCATATTCAAAACACCAGAAATTGCAAGAACCTTGATAACACAGATCAACACCACTACAGCCACAACGTCCAGGTTAAACAAATGAACAAAAGGCAACAGGTTTTGAAATGATACCCTACCTGTTCGGTAGACAAAATTGCCTTCAGTCTCAGAGGATGATGGAGACACCAGTTCTTCTTCAAATTCATTGGAACTAAATGATCCAGAATGATTTCTTTGCCTTGTTTTTTCCATCATGGCGGCATTCGTGGCCATGACATGTCTCAATGAGTCATTTAGGTAGCGATTCAACAAGCTGCTTTTGTATTTGGGGGGTGATACATAATCCTCACTGGCACTCCCTTCTGGCCTTACTCCAGATTTTATTACAGAGCTCTCTGTTTTAATCACAGTATGATGAACTGGTGTGTTGTAACCCCCTTCATTCATATGGCTCCTTGAAGGATTTTCACCGTCTGAAAAGATCCATCAGAGAGAAGCGTTATTTCTGTATCTTCTGAAAAAATGAATATATTCATGATCATTATTTTTAATACGATATGTGAGTGCAGACTAGATCATAACGTTCTTGTCCAAAAAAGTTAAACATTTAACCCAGTCGCATTCTTCTTCCTTTCCCAAAACTGTTAGCATGTACAGTACTTCTGTTTCAAATTAGATGGTGGGAGAAGCTTTCTTAAGGCATGTGTTTGCACATCAATAAGGAGTTCACAATAAAATCTCTGTCTGGCATGTGTTTTGCATGCTTGATAGTTTTAACTGACTTCATGAAATCAAGCACCCAAAGAAATCGCATGCCACATAATCTGGGAATCAATGAAATCAAAATTTTGGAAAGCATCTAATGGGTAAGATGTCTGTGTTGTTGACTTATGGGCATTTATACTAACTTTTTGCTTTGGAATCCAAGAGCACAAGAATTGATGCAGCCATTTGGGGCATTTTTGTGCCCCATTCCAACCCATACAAGAAAATGTTCCTCATACAATTTTTGGACCCAAAAGAGCCTCTAGGAGCAGCAGTTTTCACCTTCTGAGCCTTTGGTGGTTCCCACCCACCCCCCAAGATTTCTGCAGTCTTATTCCTACTCTCAACTAAGGGCCCATTAAAGCACTCGCTGTTTAATTTTTCTTAATGGCCATTTTGGCCAGCTTTGGGCCTGTTGTAGACCACGGGAGTGACTTGGGGCTTGAATATGCACACACAAACCCCAGACTAACAAACCTTGCCTAAAGACAGGGCTTTTGACAATGCCATTACCTGTAATGTATTATTTTTGGGACCTAGTGACACAACACCATTCCATTTACAAAGTATTGTAATAATGGTAATATTTGTATTTTTAAAAATGTGTAACCAGCAACATTTATTTGTTACTTGTTCTCAATATTTTTAGGGGCCAAAATGCTTTGGGAAGCAGCTTGGTAAGTCCTTTCAAATGGTTTGGAAATAACTTTTTTTTAAAAAAGTATTGAGAACTTTTTAAAAGTATTTTTTAAAAAGGTGGATTTATTTTTTTAAGGAACAAATAAGGAATGGGTAACATAATATGCAACAAAATGAACTACTGTATTTTTCCATGTATAAGACACCCTCGTGTAAAAGACGCCTCCCCACATTTCTAACCCAAAATTTCTTCTTCGCAAGAAAGTGGAGAGGGAAGGCAGGGATCAAAGCACTTTGATTCCTGCTTTCCCCCTCCACTTTCTTGTGAGGAAAGTGCTTTCCCCCTCCACTTTCCAGCTTTCCCCCTCCACAGAAGAAAATGGAGGGGGAAAGCACCTTCTTCGCAAGAAAGTGGACAGGGAAAGCAGGAATTAAAGTGCTTTGATCCCTCCCCCTCCTTACTTCTGTGTATAAGATGAACCTCAATTTTTAATCTAAATATTTTAGACAAAAGTATCATCTTATACACAGAAAAATAAGGTACTTCCCCTCACCTTCTGATTTTAATAGCATAGAATTACTTTTGAGAATCTGCAATGAGTTACAGAATAAATTACTTTTCAAAAAACAGCATTCAAGCTCTAAACGGCTCTAACTTTTGGGTGGGGGAAGGGGAGCAGGGGCAGCCTAAGACAAGGCCCTCAGAAAATACAGGGCTCACTATGAGACAGAATGATTTCTAACAAAACAGGCACGCTTGCCTAAAGTTTCCTTTAAGGTGGCAGAGTCAAATGGTTCCCTCATGATTCATTTGGCCAGAAGGGAAATAGTATATAGGTCGAGATCATGAGAGTCATTTGTGGTTCTGCTGAGGTCCTGCAGCCCTCGGTTGCCTGGTTTGTAGTCACTGGCAAAAGCTTGATCTTTTTAGTGTTTGTATACCTACTGTTTTTTAGCTTTAAATGTTATCTTTTAATGATGTAAGCTGCCCTTGGGTCTTTTTTAAGAAGAAAGGTGGGAGTAAAAATATTTCAAATAAGTAAATCTAAGCAGAAGTAGCTAAAAAAGGCTGATTTATCTAGGGACTTAATAGACTCCTAAGAGTATAGCGAACATAGAATAATAATGCATATAGGATCATGTTTACTTCTTAATTTCATTAAAAATTTAAGAGTACCCACTCACTTTCTTTGACTAGTACTGTCAGTTACTCATAATGCTGGGATTCTAGCAGTATAGTTCAAAAAAGGAGACAATGTTTTCTAATCTATGCCCGTGTGGATGCACCTTGATTTAAACAGAAACCTGGTGTGTGTGTGTGTGTGTGTGTGTGTGTGTGTACACGCATATGTGTAAGAAAAATGGAAACACAGTTCAGTACAAATATAGCATGCAGGAGCAGCAGCTACTTGAGAATTATAAGTTCTTTTCTGATCTACAGGGTTTGTAGAGACAACATGGCAAAAATATCTTTAAAAAACAAACCTTCTGAACATGAATCATCACTGCTTACACTAAGTCTTTCAGCATTTCCTTGGACATACTTGTTGTAAAGTTTTATTCGTAAAGCCCAGCTGAGGTCTGGTTGCCGGACTGTATTTTTAAGGCGACGCCGTGCATTGGCAAACCAGTTCGACACCTAAATAGAAGAAAAAGGAATCAATTTTCTTTTTTTTTTCTTTTTCTTTTTGAGAGAGAGAGAGAACTTCAAATGTCTTCTGTGATACAGTATATGTTGTAAGACATATGATGGAACACATGAACACATAAACTGTTCATAACTGTGTTCTAACAAGTGTCACATTTGCACTATGAATGCTGAAAAAACACAGGACTCAAGGATCTAACTTCATTTTGTCAGTTTAAATAATCACTTGGAAAAAAAGCATTCCGAATGTCTACTTTCCACTAGTATTGTTTGGCACTTACACTGTTTGGAGGTTGGGCAGAGTTGGTGTGAGGAATTTGTTATGTGGCTTTAATTAAAAATAAACTTTCTCTCCAATTATGCAGCGGATAAAAACGGTGTGGTCAAGAACTTACAGAGCAAGTTGAACTACAACATCCCTTAGTAGGCCACCCCTTGTTGGTTATATTCCCTCAAAGGGCACTTATTTGCTTCAATACATTCACTCAGAGATCCTGGTAAATTAGGAAGAATAAAACATTTCTGTTTACTTACGGTTCTTCTTATATAAAAACAAACATAGTTGTGGAAATATTAACTTACGTATTACATTACTGAGCTCAACTATTTAATTTACTTATTATTAACTAACTGGTTACGTTGCTGACAGAGCACTTCACTCTAACTGTTCACTTCAGACACCAGAACTCTAACACTAACAGAACATGACTGGGAAAAAGGCAGGGGAAAAATAGAGAGGGAATTATTGGCTGTTACTGGGTTGACTGGAGAACTCTAACACTAACAGAACATGACTGGAAAAAAGGCAGGGGAAAAACCTCTGAAATAGAGAGGGAACTATTGGCTGTTACTGGGTTGACTGACATTCACTTCAGCTCCTTCCCAGCTAAAACCTCTCAATGGTATCATATGAGGGTGGAATATATCCAACATCCACATCCAGATGGACAAGCAGCAGCAGAGTGGGACACTTTTCCACTTCAGGAGGGAAAGATTCAACATGCTGCACTGACCAGGTTCCTGGTGCAAATTATGCTAAGGCACAGATTTAGCTGACAGCTGGAGTTTGAGGATTCAGATCACTACCTGGCTCAGTACTGTACTTCGGATTCCTGCAGCCCAGTTACAGTTTTGTCTAGATCAGGGGTCAGGGAACTTTTTTACCTTTTACTCCCCCCAAAATTTATATACACCGACATTACCTCCCCCCATAGCTCTCACTGTCCGCTGCCAACCCCCCCCTGCCTCTGCGCTCGCCCGGGACCTGCGGCCACCACCCAGGCAGCCAGTCTGGAGTCACCACCCCGCTGGGAAAGTGCGTCCTTGGCGAGGGGAGGCGGGCACCGCAGGGCCAGCAGGGCCACTGGCCATGAGCTCAGGTGAGGTGGGATGGGAAGGGGGTTTCCTCACCAGCGCACCAGGCAGGGGGGCGCGGGCAGGAAGGAGAGCCCCGGCCAGGGTTCCGCCGGGCAAAGAGTCCAGCTGGCCTGGTACGCCACCCTCCCCCTCACTTTGGAGGTGAGGATGGCAGGCGGGTGCCCTGTGCAGTTCTTCGCCAGGGCTTTCTCTTCCCGCGATGGAACACCTGCCTACACACAGCATCGTTGGAAATGAAATGCCTGGGGGGAAAATGCCTGCTGTGACCATCCTCATTACCCCCAGGATTTTCGTTTTTACCCCATTTCGGGTAATTTACCCCTGTCCCCTGACCACTGGTCTAGATAATCGCAGGCGGGTGCCCTGTGCAGTTCTTCGCCAGGGCTTTCTCTTCCCGCGATGGAACACCTGCCTACACACAGCATCGTTGGAAATGAAATGCCTGGGGGGAAAATGCCTGCTGTGACCATCCTCATTACCCCCAGGATTTTCGTTTTTACCCCATTTCGGGTAATTTACCCCTGTCCCCTGACCACTGGTCTAGATAATCAATGTAACAGCCACCTTATACCTCACAAAGGGGCCGTTACGTCACACTCAATCACTCTTCGTTTCCACTGCCACCAACCATTCCCTCAAATGAAGCTTCAGGCCAAAGTATGATTTCAAAATAAAAACTTAGGTTTATTGTGTACAAACAAAAGGAATGGTAAATCACTAGAATATAAATAATACTTTAATCACTATAATAGGGCAAAGAGTCCAGCTGGCCTGGTACGCTGCCCTCCCCCTCACTTTGGAGGTGAGGAGGGCAGGCGGGTGCCCTGTGCAATTCTTCGCCAGGGCTTGCTCTTCCCGCGATGGAACACCTGCCTACACACAGCATCGTTGGAAATGAAATGCCTGGGGGTAAAATGCCTGCTGTGACCATCCTCATTACCCCCAGGATTTTCGTTTTTACCCCATTTGGGGTAATTTACCCCATTCCCTGACCACTGGTCTAGATAATCAGGAATCCACAAATCAGGAATCCTGGGTAGCAGCAGAGTGGTGCAGTGGGGCTTACAGGGTTGAACCTTGGAGAGGTTTTTATTACCCAGGTTCAAAATGTCAGCTGTCTCTCACTTCAGGATCCCCTGTTCTCTCAGCTTAGCTGCAGTCCTCACGGTAGCTGTAGAGGCTGGGAAATTACTTTCTTTTAAAAGTAGCTTGTTCCCATTACTCGTGATAGTGTTTAAAAAACAGCCTGTTTAATCACTCATTACAATGGTGTAGAAATGAGCATGAATTGCCAGTTCATTATTATTATTATTATTATTTGGCAGAATAAGTGTTCTGCAGTTCCTAGTCCCACCTTTTCCGGCAGTGCCCACTCAGAGGCCGAACCACAACTTCCCAGCCCCACCCCCCCACCACGAATTAAACCTGCTGGCAGCGCCCACTCAGAGGCCAAGCCGCAACTTCCCGGCCCCACCCCCCCAGCACGAATTAAACCTGTGGGCTGTCAAAATTGCCCCAATTAGTGCCTGCACCACAGAATTTACCACTGCACCACTAACGATGGGGCCAACACAAGATAAGCAAACTGGAAGTCAGAGACAGATAGACCCATCTTTTGACTGTGTATGTGGCAGTTTTATAGCCAGTTGCATATATTCATGATTGCAGCAGTTGCCTCAAGAAATAGATTCATTTGCCAAACAGCAATGTAGCAGCATACTTCAGCATTATCAGACTGCCATGTGCAACCACAGAGAGAAGGGTATTATATCCGCATAGCTCTTTACGTAAGCACCATAAATTTATCATGATTTATGCATGTGAGCTGCTATTTTGTTGAAAAATGCCAACAGCAAAACTGAGGTGTGCTCAGCATTTCCATGTCAAGAGCAAGCACTCTAGGAACAGAGACACTTTCAGTTTAAAGCATTCCAAAAGGCCACAAAATTCAGAATGAAGTGAGATATTTGTAATAAAAGAATGCATCCCCAAAGACTTTTCATTCTGGGTGCTCCCTTGCCCCCTATAGAAACAATTCCGAAATATTTTTGAATTTGGACATGGAGGGGCTGTTGAAATTTCTTTGGGTTAAACATGGCTAGAGAAAGATATTGTTCATAGTTTATTATGGGGCCTGAGAACGAATAGAGGGGGAAAGAGCCCACCCTGAGCCCTGTGGATGTGACCTAAAAGAAACACAGAGGAAGTCTCTTAAGACTCTTTTAAGTCTACATAGGAGCAGATTTCGGAAAGACATCAGGAAAAGCTTTGTAACCAGAACTGCAATGTGATCGTGAATGTATTTAATACGTAACAGATAGTATAACCCCAGATAATTCAAATCTTCTGTGCTACCATGGAGAACTCAAAAAGTTTGTTTTAAACCCTCCAAAATTTCACTCCTTCCCAATATTTCAAAGTGAAAAAATAGGGACATACATGGAATGCTTACATTCTCATATCAAGTAAGGACCACAGATATTAAACATTTCTGAAGACTGGGTAGTCACAATTGGCTTGTACAAAATTCAGGTTGTCATCTGTGAACTCAAGCAGCCTACTTACCTCTAAATAGAAATATATAATATTGTATTAAAGTTTGGGAACACAGTTTGTTTGACTACAACTCCCAGAATTTCCCAGGAGCATGGCTAGTAATCATAATCGTCATCGTCATCATCTTAGAACTGTAGAGCTAGACAGGACCGCATGGATCACTGTGTCCAGCCGTATCAAGGAGGCAAAGAGGGGAACTGAACTCCCCATCTCTGAGACTTGAAACATTTAGCTGTCCAGCAGGGACCCCATAAATCTCCAACAAAATGATGTTCCTATAATATGACATTTTGGAGACTGGTACTTTTTTTCTACCAGAGCAACGAATTTTGAAAACTGGAGATTAAGACTGTCTGGGGATTAAGACCATTTTCATAAAACAAACAAACAAACAAACAAAAAAGGAACAGGTGCATCTCTCAGTAGTCTAATAAGTGATGGAACAATTCTACCCCTGGATTACAGGCAAATAAACCATAATACAATAACTCTGTTGAAACTATGGAAAGTTTGGGCTAGGTTGGAGGGTATATAAGGTCCATGGTGTGATTCCTATGGATGCTATCGATCCATTGTGGGAGAAGGCAGGACAAACGTTGACAACATTAAATAAGACTGTGTATGGTCTTAGGGAAATGTCTACAACCAGTGGCCATTGCATTAAATAATGTAATTCGGGTCAACTCAGGAGACTGACTTGCATCTCAGAGAATATCCCACTTTCATAACTCCTCTTGTTAAGTACTATTGGAACAAAGTGTTTCCGTTCTACAAAATGTCTTTCTCAGATTGCTTTTCTGGTATTCTTGCCTCTTTTTTGCAATCACATTAAACGAGTCCGTAAAACATAGATAATAAGGTATGTACCTCTTTTTATCTTGTTCTGAGATACCATATTTCATCCTACACTATGTTAAAGAACTTAAATTATTCTCTCTTGCTGAGTACACGACATCCTATATGTGCTGGCAAAAAAAAGTTGAATACAGCAAGAGCCACAGAAGCCCAGAACGAGTCAGTTAGTCACAGGATGGCCAATAACTTCATAGTCAACAATA